TAAGTAAAACTGATTTATAGCTATATCAATGGACCACGGTGAAACAAAGAATTGCTATTCTCATATATTGTTATCCACTCTAACTGTTTAACCTTTATGTTAATCTTCTGTATCCCAACCCCTGATCTGCTTTATTACTACTTTGGCGTTAGCACCAATGCTTGGTGTCAAGCCGGTGATATATATATTACAATAATAGAATGTATATGTATACCGTTGTCATATAAGCATATGAAATGGAAGACAATGGACATTTCGGAACGAAATAGGATGAACCGCGGAAGTGCACCTCGATGGAGCCTTTTCTTGCGTTAATTAATCATGTATGACACTAGCCATTTTTCTACAATGGCCATGGAACATCAGACACCGCCAAAGATACCGTTCCACCATGAAGGGTCAATAAATCCCCCTCAACCGATACCTTCGAAAAACAAAAGCTGCTGACGGTAACCGTCAATATCAAAAACTTGTGTCAATGAAAAGTGAGGAACAGGAGCATCCGAATAATAACCAGATACGAAGTTCACAAACCTGTGGACGGCCAGTTTTGTTCAAACGGACAACTCGCACAAATGACCGAGGTCTGTTAGCAGGAAGAGAGTTATTACCAACTCGATCACCAGATGCGACTGAAATGTTTCCGGGTTTGTCGCCATTGCCAGAAGCATCATTGGTGAGCTTTCCGTTGTGTTGATTTTCCTTATCATGATCCGCCAAATCTGAGAGAAACTTCGAACAATCTACAACAACTTACCTGATGTTCTACTCCATCGAGCTCCACGGCAAGGTCCAGTACCATCAAAGCCAACTGGTTTGGGAAAGATACATTCGATATTCCCTTGCTCCCACTTCTTTTTCTGTGAGGTACTCGAAACTACTTGAGACTTGACATCTCCACGTTCAGCATCATCCTGGCAACCAACCGAAGCAGTGCTCTAATAAAGTTGACATCGAAATGACACTTTCTTACTCTGCGTTTTGGTTTGTCCTTGGGTTTGGTGCTGATTATATTTGGTCCACCGGAATTTTGAGATGCCTGAGAAATAGCACTTTGTAAGGTAGGCCAGTCAGCATCCCTGGCAGTTGCGGTTGAACGACCAACGTCTATATCTGAACTATCACCAGATGCCCCAGGAACTACAAAGATTATGCTAAATGTCACAATTACCCTTGGACCAGGGATTATCTTTGCTGCTAAAGCAGCCATTTGTGCGGCCATGAGGGATAGATGACCCACTTTCACCGCCAAACAAATGATTTAAATTTTCATTCTAATATTCAAGCATAAAATTTACATGCAACAATGTGGACTCACTTTATTGCCCGAGATAATAGTATCAACATGGGAATCGCCGGTGGCCATGAAGGAACGCGGCAGATTTAGCTCCCGCCAGCGTGACATTCATCGATTAAAAGCACAACCAAGGACCAGGAGGGTCCATTTTCTCTCGGAAGTATACTATTACCCATTTCCTAGAGGTGATATATGTTAAAATATATTCACAGAAATCGAACAGCTTGTTTGCTTTTCATGTTTCGCGTTCATCAACTGCTTTTAATTCAGTTCAGTTCAGTTTGCACAGGTCGGAAGTGGTCGAGACGAATCGTGCATCCAGATTGTTGTTTTGTCATCTAGTTGTCTTGGCTTCCACCAATGCTCGTCAAACGTTTGTTCTGCCTTTGGTTTCTGAAAGGCAGAATTTTAGGTGTCGTATCGCATCCACCAGATTTGTATAAATGAAATACATATATAGGAATGAACTCACCTTGTTCCTTCTTCGCCTCTCAAGTTCAGGTCAGGTTGAACAGGACTGGTAGTGGCCACAGGCCAATCAAGCGTCCAGAATTCCTTCGGTGGTGTGCTCACGAGTGTGCGCCCACCTCTGTGATTGGTCGGTTTCTCTTTCTATCTGCAAACAGAGAGAAGGAGATACTTCACTTCTCGCCGTGTCTGCGAGAGACTTTTATTGTGAAAGCGTTCCATATTACATGAAAGCAATTAATGCACCTAAAATTCTATGTCAGGGAAGACATCCAACCATCTGGTATCCAGGGCTCTTTTAAATACTTGGACGTTTGGCTGCATAATCAGTTCCGACGGTAGCTTTTTCCAATTTCCCATTACCCTATTGCCAAAGAAATGTGCTCGTAAGTTCATCCTAGAACGCTGTTTCATAAGTTTGAGCTCATATCCACGCGTTCCTTGGTGGGGAGCCTCACCAGCTCACCCAGGACGGACAGCGTCTCGAAGCCTTGAAGACTTGAATTATTCACGGGTGCGAGGCTAGACCCAATGATCCCGGATCTTAGTGGCATCTGTTCACGATGGCCACTCCGTTACCACTGCGCGGCTACTCCATGAAACTCGACCGGCAGCGTCTCAAACTGAGAGCCCGGGAACACTGTTTCTTGGTAAGTGCATATCGCCCTTGGAACTCACTGCCAACGATCTTCCTGAACGCCTTGGCTCGCCNTCAGACAGGACAATCACCTCAGCCCTTGTCCCCGCAGCCACTGTGGCCAGCTCTCCCCACTTATTCTTAATACTGCAAGCATTGACGTGCACTAGTACCAATGCTTTCCTATCCCCTAATGAGTGGTGTTTGTTCACTCGAATTTTTCTTCAGGCGTAACACCCGGGTAGGCAGCCCGTATTTTGGCTGATCTATGGTGCCAGTTTCTACTTTGACCACCGTTTCCTCCAGCTCGGGGAGCTTGGAAACGTATGCTGGTCCCAGTGACAATATTGGCTGGCTGGTTGCGGCATTATTTGATTCCATCTGGGTCTCGTTTACTAACAATGGATTCTCCAATATGTCCTCAATTACTACCAACGTGAGTTCTTGCTTGTTATCGCGAATTAGCTATTTTAATCTAAATAAGGACAAATAGCTTATTTTTGAATATAGGACACAGTAAGATGCCAACCACAATTAGTTTGCCATCTAAAACTCGCCTTACCCTGCTGCCAAAAGTTAGACCATCTCTTCCTGTTCCTTGCTCTGTATCTATGACTGACATATTCGTAGAAATAAGTGAGAAGTGCAGAAAGATTGAAAGTGACCTGGAGTGCCTATCTTCCAAAATGATTTCTCTCGGCAAACTGGTAGCTTCACTTACCCCTCTCTGCCAGTTCTTTGACCCCTCAATCCCGAATACTAAAGAAAGTTTGCTACACGTAGGAAACTTCATAGATTCAATTTCCACAGACGTCTATATCAACGATCTGCCTGAACGCCTTGGCTCGCCTAGCTATATATTTGCGGACGACGTCAAGGTTGTAGGATCAACTGGTAGAGCGGAACTGGAGAGGGATATAGGTGAAGTGCTCAAGTGGTCAAATACATGGGATTTGCCTCTCGACGTAGGAAAGAGTCATGTTTTAACCACTGGAGACGAAGGGCTGATAGTGGGGGGCAGTTATAGCGGTCTGTCTCTAGGAACGACTCAGAAAGCTAGGGATTTAGGAATCATGGTGACTGCAAACTACAAATGGGCGAAACAGTGTGCCGCAGCGGTGCATCGTGCCCGCAGTGAGCTCTTCAGGTTGAGGTCGGCACTATCATGTAGGCAACCAGAGGTATTCGTGCCACTGTATAAAGCCGTTGTTCGAGTATTGTAT